AGGCCAGGAAAATCTGTATTGCACGGCGTACAGCGCACTTCATCGTAGTTTGCCATACGCTGATCTTTGTTGTTCTTCACGAGGTTATACCGAGGCGTAGTCAGCGTATGATGCAAGTAACATGATGCTTTGGTATGTCACTGACGGCATAGGATATTGGATGACACATAAAATATTGCTTAATTAATAAGGCTATATGACGTTCTGAATCAAGCTCAGTTCGTCTTCAGAGTTATAAATCAGTAATATAACAAATTGGCCAAACCTGTCCCATATGAGAGCTCTATGTGCAACAGTAACGCACAGTTAGTAATATTTTCTTTTGGACTCCGTTATATGATTTTGGTAACAATGTAATGTTACATTTCAAATTCTGATACCGAATTTACACGGCGCAAACGTATGGTTAAAGATAGGAAATTTTTCCTTTACTTTACACTGATACAACGGTAGTGTATAAGAGCATTAACTTCGGTTGCACCGCCCTCTTGTTTGCCCTCTTGTTTCTAGTCGCCTAGAGGACCATTTAAGCAGGCCACTATTCCGTAGTATCTAAGCGTTTGCGGTGCATAGGACGCACAATCATGTCCTTTCTTAACACCATACATTTTTGCTGTGTAAATTCGGCCTTATTATTTGAAATGTGACATTTAATGGCGGTATTGAAGGCTCCCGTTTGTGGAAGCTACCCCAGAGCATCTGGGTTATATCTTATTTCATTTTGTTTGTGTAGCATTATGTATTATATTTTAATTAATGGCATGCCATTGCGTACTGCATTAATGTTATTTAGAATATTCCTAGTAATTCTGTTTATCTTAAAATTTATTTATCGCTTTCACTGCGAATGATTAGTAATCTTGTTTTGCATTTCAGAGGAGCGTACGATGACGAGCATGTCTGAAGAACTAACAGATGATCTGAAAAAAATGAATGAAAGTCAGTGAGGGTTCGACTTTTTTTTATCGCAACTTTATTCTTTTTATAGCGAAAGTGCGATTGAACTTGGTGATAGATAAGTACAGAAAATATCGTGCAAAACAGGAACAAATGTTAGATGAAAGTTAGTCATGAGTATATTCACAAGTTTAAGATAATACACGAATTTGCATATTTTGTAGGTTACCTTCAGCGCCGGAAAGGTGAAATGTGTTTATTGGAGGAGAAACGTAAGAACTGCATTGAAAAAAAAGATTTTTGATATATCATGATATTGATATTATTTTTTGTAAATTCCAAGTTTCTCAGATCGTCTCAGGTTTCTCAGGAATCAGTAGGAGTCAGATTGTTTACTGCTCGATTCATCGCTGGATTGATTTCATTTTACAGCTGTAATGACTGCTTGGTACAATTTATTATTACTTTTGTCCCCACAGCATGGATGCGACGATATTTTGAGAGGAACGATTTTAATGGTATCTGATATGACTACATTGTGTTGAACGAAAACATTTACCGTAACAAAGGCAGTAAAAAAATTTGGTGCAATATTTGCGCTGTTTCAGTGTGTATTTACAGAGCCTTTTAAGGTACATAATTGTCTTATGATTAATAAATTTCACTGATTAACTTAGATCAGCATTGTGTACAAACCCCTTGAAGATTTGCAAGATACACGGAAACTTCATAAATACTGTTGCTTTATCGAAGTCTTGCTCAGCAGATCAGGCGTGACATTGAAAGGTTAAAGGCATGATTATGATAATTTTGAGGGGAGGCGGTGATAATAATGGCGAAGTATATGATTTTGTGCAAGGATGGATATTATATGGCATATCCAATGTCCCGTGAATGAAATAATGTAAAATTCTATTGTTTTACTAGTTGCCCAATTACTAATATCTAGTTATTGCCTTCTCATCGCATATCACAGATGCGGGCTACCATGGTATTCAAGCTTTTATCCCTCCAATAATGATGATCAGAACAGCGAGTATTTATATTTCCAGTTGCACTGCTAAAACAGTTTCTCTCACGATTCGTGTGTGTGTGTACATGCACATGAACACTGACTGTTTTTCTTCTTACCCTGTCGCGTACGCTTTAGAGTGCTAGGTTGTAACTTGGCTCAACTTCCCTGTTGAGTAGAATTACTTGTCCAGCGTAGATTTTATATATTCGATCAGATCCACTACAGGGAAATGCATTGCGTAGACTCGCTGCTCAGCTTGTCTTCTGCCGAAACTCGGAGGTCGGCTGAGAATCGAGAACGTTGGAGATACACTACGTGACGCTGCTGCTTCCACGACTCGAAAGGATAAGCGGCCTAACTGACTGACTGACAGGCTGACTCATTCATTCAGTCACTGGTTGATCCTTGATTGACTGATTGCCTTCCTGGCTGCCTTACTCACTTGTTTGCACTAACATTTCGGCCTTTTCAAGATAAACTAATCTTGCCGCTGTAATGGATAACGGTGATTTATTTTCAAGGGAAAATCTCATCTCCGCATATACGCTTACTCGATCTTTGTTTCTAATTCGACGTGGAGTAACTTGAAATGGGCTTATTGAAAAAAGTTAAATTTTTGTGCAATATAGTATTGCATTTCCATATTATTTCATACTCGTTCCACACGTCTTCTTGATCGTGGTAGTGGCTGATTGTCGTCTGCTAAAATTGTTTTTGCAAAATTAATTTTTCATTTATTATTTCATGCTTTTTTAGAGCGGACGAAAATCGCCGAAATGAAGCTTGAAAAAGGGTTTGCAGTAGAGAAATTGTATGTATTTTAAACATACTAGCTGTTTTAATTTATTTTGATTTAGCTGGGAGGAAAGAACAGAACACGCTATAAGTGAGAAAAAGCAAGCTCTTCGAAAATACCGCGAACTGGAAATGGAAATATCTTCAAACGAGTTAACAATGACATCATTAATATGATAATTAGTAACTTAGCTGTTTCTTGTTGTAGCATTGGCATTGCAAATGCGAAAATATCTGCAGAAAAGAAACTGATTGACACCCTTCGTTTATACGTATTTTTATGTTTTAAATAGGTTTAATCGCATTTAATCTAACAGAGTATAGGATCGGGAAAAGTGTGCTTTGGAGATGCCAAAACTTCAAGAGAACGTAGTGATGCTAGAAAATCAATGTAAGTATATTCTTACTTATTTGCGTTATTTTACCGCTTACCCTTTCTATGGTGATGAAAAAAACAGGACGTTAGTGAAAGACTTGCCATCATCAGGTCGTTGTCTGCGCACCGATCTTCAGCTGAGGGGTGAACGCAGGGCACTGGTTGAAAAAATGTTACGAAATGTTATCCTGATATAAGTCTTTCCTCTAGAAGGCAGGCGACTACCATGTCGGGATTGGAAATGATACGCTATAGCATATCAGAAATTTACTCGTCATTTGCTTCTTCTTCCAATCGAAAGACCACACATGGGGTGATTCGGTTGAGATACCGTTGCAAGACGGATAATCATCTCTGAGCCGTGTGACATGCAGTTAACGAGTATAACGAAGGCCATTTTCTCGAATAGATTTGACTCCTGATATCGTCAAACCCAGCTCCTAGGGCTCCCTTGATTGACAGTGAAGTCCAGCCATTATGAAAAGCTCTTAGAGGCTGCTATTCTCACAAGTAGAAAAGAATAACAGACTATGAAATGGGGTGAATATGTATGTTCTTGCTGCTATAAAATTGACTGTTGCTTTTGTGAATTGATGTGCATGTCTGATGAAAGATTTTGACAAAAGCTGTAGTGCCAGAACAAAAGATGATTGGGACTTTAAAATTAGGCCAATTATGCGTTTATAATCCTAGAAGCTTGAACGAAACGCATCTTCGAATGTTGAAGTACTTTTACGATGCAAAAGAATGCTATTGAATTTTGACTTTTTTGGAGTGTAATGGTGAATGTGAATGACTACTGATGTATATCTTCAAAAAATGCTGTCAGTAATTTCGTTAGCTTGGGAGAGTAATCGAAAAAAGCGCTACAAGCTTGCCAGATTTTCAAACCCATTTTTGTTATTCAAATAACGCTTGTGTGCCATACTCTATTTCCGCCAGCATATACAAAGACTCAGTCATTCATGCTGCCATGAGACATTCATATGAATGATTTGCTCATCATTAAGATAATTTTATTCAGTAGCTGTTAAAAGTTTGTTGAAAATTGATTTTGAGGATCATACAAAAATAACTATAGAGAAAATGTTAAAATTTTCATGCGGCGATGCCTTAACGTTCCTAACTAAAAGATTTTTGAAAGTTATGATCGATTTTACCTTAGTTATTTATTTTTGGACTTCTCCATTTTGAAGGTTAAAAAGAGAATGAACCTAAGCGATTCGACCTTGTTTCATAGTTCTTTTCTCTGGTGCAGTTGTTCTTTCCATTAAGTTGTAAATGGTCTCCGCTCTTACGTTCCAATCTGCAGTCACGAATTTATTCAGCTTAATTGTAAACCTATGGTCTGCATCCTTTTTATCACGGAGTTGGGAGGTCGTAATCGCTTTAATTGCTTTGACCACTTTTTTAACTCGTCAAGTACCAGGAAGCAGAGCACAGCTGGCTTGATGACAGAATTACCAGCACAGGCGATAATTTTCAGCGCCCAGTTTTGTTTGGCTGATTTGTGATCAGGTTATCGTCCACTGCCACCATGTCACATCACTCTAGTCTCGGTGTTTAATTATCACTTAGTATTTTTATCTTTTTGCAGACCGTTCATGACTCGTATGCCTTTCGTTTGTAGATAAGCAGCTGAAAGAGAAGACTGAGGAACGTTTAGCAGAAATCGATCTCGCCTTAGTCGCAGTTGAGAAGCGACGGCAGGAAGACAGCCGTTGGGTGAACCCAAAAGTTTCGAAGATAATCATGTGAGTACGCTGGTTTTTTGTCGCCATGTTTGCAAATGCTGTGTTTTAGTAGAGCTTGTCAGCGTAGCCTCAAGGCGTTACGCCTAGAGCTGATGGAAGCACAACAACATTACAGACGTATGCGTATTGAAGTTTGCGATGATGATTGACAATTTGATCAGGAATTCGATGGTTTTCGAAAACTCACAGTTCGATTATTGATTGCAGATATTGCTTTTATTTTTTTCAGTTTTCATTTTGCTTGATTTCTTTACCTGTAATTAATTTTTTTAAACAAAGCCTTTGCTTGCTTTTTTGGCGAAGTCGCAATGAAAAACGTTATTTAAGCATCTGCTTCGAGTAGGGGGCGATAACATATCTCTAGTTGCGATAACGGAATAATTGTACAAATTTTATTCATGGACACATCAATATTTTACGGACGAAAAATGCCAGCGAGACTTGAATTAAG